CAGCACCCACATGGTGGCTATCAACCCCTCCATAACTCCAGTTCCAGGGGATTAGATGCCCTCTTCTGTCCTCCATGGACATTGCATGACATGGGTGCACTTGCATACATGCTTGCAATACACACCTACACATAAAATACAGCAAAAAAGTTTTTATGTATGTGTGTGGTACTTGTATGTGTACACTGATGTTCACATATGTGTGGATGCATGTGTGTGCAGGTGCATGTGCACTTGTATGCAAGTGGGTATGGAAGTCCAAGGTTGACCTTGGGAGTCTTCCTTGATCCCTACCTTTCTTACTGTGACAGGGTCTCTATGAGTTGAATATAGAGCTCACCTGTACTGCTATTCAGCTGTGTCCATTTCACTCTGGGATCCCGTCTCTGCCTTCCAAAGGCTGGAATTACAGGTCAGCTAAAAAACCCAGTTAGCATTTCATGGGTCCTGGGGGATCTGAATTCTGGTCCTCGTGGTTGTGTGGCAAGCACTTTACCACTAAGGGATTATCCATCGGGCCTATAGCTTTATTTTGTTTATTTTATTTTAAAAAATGTTTATTATTTTTATTTTATGTGTATGATGTGCATGAGTGTATTGCCTGCATGTATGTAAGTGTACCCATGTCATGCAATACCTGTGGAGGTCAGAAGAGGGTGGATCTTCTGACCAGGATGCCCTGGAACTAGAGTTATGGGCAGTTGTTAGCTGCTACATGGATGCTGGGAATCAAATCCAGGTCCTCTGCAAGAGCAGTTAGTGCTCTTAACCACTGAGCCATCTCTCCAGCCCCTGTAGCTTTATTTTTAAATCCTTGTAAGGCCGATCCTGACTTTGAGACTTGACTACACAGTGACTGATTGAGTACATGAGTTCTAGAATCAGATGGTTAGGGCTCAAATCTCTCTTGGTTCTGTTGGTTTTAAGATGTTGGACAAGTTTTTAAATTTCCCTGTGCCACAATTTCCTTAAGTGCCTAGGGGTAGTTATAATAATTAAAAATACTGATATAGAGAAGCAGGGCTTGAGATAGATGGGTTATAAATGTGACCTTATTTTAGAAGAGGGTAGAATTAGGATGTAGATGGCATCGTTCTTATTTAGACACAGTGCTGAGCCTCATGTGTTCCCTTCCTCCGTTTTCTACATACCCTTGTAGTTTAACGGCTCACTTATGTAATTATCCTAAGACTCAATTCCTTGCCTCTCTTCTGAGTTAGTTTTCAGAGAGATCTTATTTGAGTGTAACCTCACCTGAACAGATTCTAGGCACAATAGCCTTGTTAAGTAATGCAGGAAACAACAAGTCTAGTCAAGATATGAATTCATATTTTAGCATAATGATAATCGAGGTATCACAAATAGCAGGAAGGATACACATAAATGTCACAAGGAAGATTTGGTGCTTTGGGATTCTGAGAGGGAGAAATCATATTGTTACACAGTTTTATGAAGGGGGAGACTTCTGAATTTTAGAGAACCAGTAAGAGAGCTGGAGGGTTGTATGGTGGCTTGAGAGTGACAGTGCATTTCTAAGTCCAGGCAGGCAGCACATGGAGTACTTGTTAAGAAGTAAGGATGTGTCCATGAAGAGAATATAAAGAACAACCCAAACTAGGAGGTAATGGAAGAGGAGAGTGAAAAAGCCAGGCTTCAACCAGACTGTAGGAAGCTTTAGGTGGCAGGCCGCTTGGGATTCATTACGGAAGTCATAAAATCAGGCCGAAGGTGAATTTTTCCTCACCTTGAACAGTATTGTTATTATTATTGTTTTATTTAATCTATTATTTACTTATTTATTTTTATTTATTTATTTTGAGGCAGGGTTTCCCTGTAGCCTCAGCTGTCCTGGAACTCACTATGTAGACCAAGTTAGCTTCAGTCTCACAG